CCCGTTACGCATTTCCATTCAGATCCTCTCACCCGAGGTAATTCCTTTTTATTATAGGCATTGCTAGCTATTTTGAGAATTTCGAAAAACCGGTTCTAGGTTTTTTTTCTGTTTCCTCTGAATGTAATAAGGTTCAAACCCACTGTACAATTGAAAACCGCGCAATTTTTAGGCTATATTGAATTCCTTGAATTTGTTTATGCTAAGTTAAATCAACTTAATTAGTTCCTATACTTCCGTTTGTAATCATAAATCTCAATTTAATTTGCGTTTTCCTCTAGGTCGGTTTCACCTGCCGAGTTTCACCATTCCCGACCATCCTCCCTTGACGACAGTCTTATTTGACGAACAGCAGGCGGTGAACTACATTTGAGTTTTCTATAATTGGCAGCATTTTGTGACGCGCCCCCAACACATGATAGATGTTGAATATATGACGTCACAAAAATCAATTTTTGAAGTGTTTAAATTTGTATCATAAATATGGAAGAACCACAAAGCCATTATGAATTAGCACCCTTTCGAATAGCCAGCCCCCCCTCCCTAAACAGTTGTCAGCAATTTTGGTTCAATCGACCACTTCTCTCGCTGATAGAACTGTTTGATCAGTATACTTCAGGTAACAGCCAGCAAAACTTAAATTTAATCTAGGCAGTTCTCTTTGACTTAACTTAAAACATAATGTTTAAAATCCTGTTATTTTTTAAAGGAGTTTGTAATCTTGATATCAGACTAAGAATTCCCAGCATTAATGCAAACTAACTGATCTTATTTCAGCAACGATGGTTTCGATTCAGGCCTTGATCATGAAAGAACACGAGACCACCCTGTCAGCAAAAGGTGTGCTTGACGTCTTTTATTCGAATCTTTATTGTGTAGCTACATACAGTCTAATCATACCTAGAGTTTGTTGCTAACTTTTTCTAAGAGGATAATTATGAAAACAATCTTTTGGTGGTACAAAACTTGAAAATGGCTTTTAAAAAGGCAAACATTTGAATAAACTTAAGTATTTCGTCTAACACTCTTCAGAGTTTAAAACGTTGAACATTGATCGAAAAACTCTACGCTAAGAAATATGTTATACCCAGTTGTGGATCGAAATTGCGTATATATATTTCCTAGCGTCGACTTTTGGGTCTATGTTTCTGACGTTTTAAACTTTAAAGAGTGTCAGACGAAAAGGTTTAGTTTACTCATATAATTATGAAAGCACAGAAAGCAGTATTTTTTCTATATGAAATGATGAATTATAAACTGAAGAAAAATAAAAAGGTAAGATGTTAAGTAGAAACAGATTAAGATATAAAGAATGGAATGTTGTTGAAAGTTAATAAGAATAAGAGTTTGAGCGACAGTTGGTATAATGATGGAGAAAGAAAGAGAAAGAAAAAAATTTGTAGTTTGAAAAGGAATATCAGAATGTAGCAAGGGGGATGTGTTTGAGAGGCTACATTGTTAGTTGTATTGCTAGAAAGTTGTATTGAATTTCAAATCCGCTAAAAATCGAACTTCTTTCTCTTCTGCTAGCAAATCTTCTTACTTGATTTTATTAAAGGTTAATAAGTTGTATCTCTTGATGCAGAAGTTTGCAGCTTTATCATGTGACGTTTGTGTTTGCTTAAAATTGTTAATGTAATTTTTTTAACCTGGTTTCGATTCCAATCAAAATCATTTACAATTTTAGTTTCGAATGTGGAAGTGGTGACGAATTGACTCCACATATAACCAGACACTTACTTTAAAACTACAAGGTCAGTTTTCTTGTTTTTTCTCCCTTTGTATACAATCTACAATGTTAAGTTCCATCCCTATGTATGCTTTGGTTCTGTTAAACAAATGTCACATCTACCCCCATTTTATATTCTTTATATATTTCTACATATTAATGGTGATTTCTGATCCAAATACGCTGTCTACGAAGGGTACAACACAAGTCAGGCAAAGGTAGCGGGGACAAAAAAAGAAACTGAAATAAAAGATTCTTGCTAACCCTTCATCAGTAAGATTTCTCTCCCCCCCCCTACCCCATACTGGAAGCAATTGTTTTTGGTCAAAGGCAGTTTAGCTATGCTCGTCAGTTTAATTACCAAAAACAATCACAATGTTCCATTCGATATTGTATTGGCCATTCCTGGCATTCAGTCTTTAACCCACTTGTTGGTTGGTTTATTGGTATGGTTTTTCCTTGTTCCCAATACAGTAAAAAAACAAAAAGTATCACATGGCATTTCTGGCGTTTTTTTAAAAATGAGGACTTTTAGGGCGGGTGTAAAAAGGCATGGTAAATTTGGCATGTCAAATAATTTGCCTAAACGTTTTCAATTTCCAAAAAAGTGTTTGGAGATGATTGACAGCAAATCTTAAAAATATATTGCTAACAATGAGCCATTGCGCCTACGCAAGGCATCCCATAATGCATTTTCAGACAGTCTGAAACCAATTATCGTTAATCCGTAGAAGCTTACTGCCATTGTTTGGATCGTCGCCACGCTCATAGCCTGGTTTCCACTGGGTGATTATCGCGATAAAGGCGACAGCTTAAACAGACTTTTTCGCTTTTATCGCGACAATCGTCATAATCGCCAGTGGAAACATGAAATCTTTAAAAACAATAGTGCTTATCGCGCCACGATTAAGCGACAGAATATCAAAATTTTTTTGATATTCTGTTCGCGTTAATCGTCCTCATCGCCAAAATTGACGTCATTGGAATCAATTTTCGAAAAGGCATACCTCGATCACCATGACAACGGTAAGTCAAGGAAAGAGTCTTGGCATGCCTGGGAAGTTTCAAGGGGTGAATCATTTTTTTGCTATAAATTATTTGAAACACTCTTTATAAAAAACTAATAAACCAAGTAGCGTAGCTTGACAAAATGGATCCCGATTGTATTCAACGAGACGAACAGCTAGCAGAAGCTGTACCCAGGTAGCGGACCGTACCCATGATCTTTGGAACAAAATAAACATAGACTGCAAATGTAAGAACGTCTTTCCAAAGCCTGGAGAAAGGTGGCAGAATATAAGCAGACCTTTTTCCTCGCAATGAGATGCTTTCTTGTAAGGGGCCATGTTGAATTGTACAAACAAATTTTTTTCGCGCTAATCGTTCTATTCGTTGCAATGGAAAACTGTCATTACATTTCATAAAATTTAAAATCGCGATTTTCGCGTTTGTCGTCCTTATCGTGATAATCGTAGCGCGACAATCCACGATTAAAATCATGTTTCCACTGGACGATTGTCGCGATAAAAGCGAAAAGTCATTTGAATTTGTCGCTTTTATCGCGATAATCGCCCAGCGAAAACCAGGCTTAAGAAAGATTTAAGAAACTCTATAAACTCGATGCCAAGCTAAATCTTTTATGCTTGCTTGACTGTATATATTTTGCACCAGAACAAGCCAAGCTAATATTCTTAAGCTTTATTGCATCACTATCTCGTTGTGCATGTAACGTTTGATTAATTTCAGGATTTCTAAAACGGAAAACGTATCTGAAAACATGGCCAAAAACCGCGGGTATGTATTTCCGTTGCGTCGTGGTTTAAAATAGGTTTTCTGAAGCTCTCTTTGTCAGAATTACTTTTGTGGAAATTGTCAGTGAAAATCTCTTTAAGAGAATAATAATATGCTTCGTCTTTCCCTTGCGAAGTTGGTATTGGAGTACAAGATATTTAGATTTGCACGACAATAATTTATCAATTTAACCTAAAGCGTAAGAATTTCATCTGAGCACGTAAAACTTTCTGGCATAATTTTTAGAAACAGCATGCACAATTTTTTGGCTCAAACTGAAATGTTTTTCTCGTAACATTGTCGCTAAATTTTTATTGTTGAAGCTTGTATTTCCGGATTTCATTTTCAATTCATGTTAGAAAATAAACCATTCGTTTGCCTCAGATATATAATTTCAGGAAAATCTATCTATAGATACGCTTTAGAAATTATTAGCACTTCCAGACTTATAAACTATAAAGCAAGAAATTTTCTTTAGTTTCGTGCTACGTTTTATGCAAAACCTTTCTTTAGAAAATACCAAGAGACTTCATACTGAAAACAGTTTATCTATGTTAAGTAAAGATCTTTTTTGCAAAGTCGACTAAATTATTTGTCTAATCTACTTTTATTTGAAAATTCAAATGCTAGTCTCAGTGTGAGATCGGTGCGAGCTTCTTCAAAAGGATCACTTAGTGGGTTTCTGTAGTTACAATTCAAAGTGAATAAATTGCCAAGTGGACGTTTTGGACATCAGTCCCTTGTTAAAGCTGAATAGAAATTGAGGATTAACGACCCTCTCAACGATATCTTGTCTTATATATCTAGTCAAATAAGTTTCTCACGTGGCAGATTCTTGTTTACATTACCGTCTTTTGAGTGTGGATTTTCTGTTGATGGGCAAGGTAGAATATTTTCGTTTGGCTCACTATTTGAAACTAATAGCAAATGTTATAGGATTATCCAAAAGGCATGCCTGCCTGCTTATCATAACAAAAACATTGTCCCCATACAGGTAGCGCGTTGGAATCGATATTGGGTGGGACTCACTGGGTCCTGCTTGGTATATTTTCTACCAAAATACCGTACCTTCGGAGGGCATGACCGGAAAACGTGAGTAGCGGATGTTTTATGCAAAATGTTTTGATTTGTTTTTCTTTCTTTGCTTTCGGTAATTGGGTCAAGATTTTATTGACTATTTTTCTGAGACGTTGGAAGACTTTCTGGCAACACTTTGAAAAAGTATTCTTTGTTATTGGGTCATCTATTTCCCGGTGTGTTTTGGTACACCTCTCTTCTCGTTTGTCATGGTTCAATGCCTTTAGCAGAATGAAAAGTCGCTTCATTAATGAAAAATCTCAACTTTTGGTATAGGCTCTCCTTTTCTCACGATTCACTGCCTTTTAAATACCTAAAACGCTGTTTTCAGGAGCATACGCGTGTTAATAGAATAGTCCTTGATGACGTCATCCAGTAGCAATTCATCAATCTTTTTCTTTAGTTCCGAGTCGATCCGCACAAAGTAATGTCACTTTACGGCTGGAGTGTAGTTTCATTCAATGGAAGCCAAACCCCTGGCGTTTTCCAATTGGTGGATGATAATGGATGTAATGTTTAAAAATGCAGTTTGCTGCTTTTTTCGCCTTAAAATTGATACCATGATATTATATTTTATGATTTCTAACTTGAAACAAGTCATCTGAAAGAAAGTACAAATTTGTTTAAATGCTAAAAAGATAGTTGGGTCTATCTGAGATAGGCTAAAATAAAACCTTTTGAAACACTGTCACCTCCATGTTCTTGGTTCAAAAGCTAATGGACAAAGCCAAGATAGGCCTTAACCTTTTCAAGAGCTCATGGTTGGCCATGGCTTAGTCTATTTGCGTATTTAGACCTCTTCCAAGTGCTCTTTCAGATGTTTATCATTCTGATTACAAAAATATATTATAGGATTTTTAGAAATTATTGTTTATGATGTTATTTGGACATTGTTTTTAAAATGTTATTTGACTCGTTTTTAAAATTCTTAGCTTAGGGAAACTTTTTAGGGGTAAAATGGGGTTCCAGGGGTAGTTTTCATTTACTCTTGTGAACATGTTTCCCAAAATGATGGCGCAACACCGTTTTGAGATTAGGAAATACCGCAGCTTATTTTGGCCCATGACAAGTGTAACCCACATGCAATTGTTTATAGGACTTCCAAGCTGCTCTTGTGTCCTTTTGCTTCACTAAATCTTCTGTTCTTTTATCATAAGCACTTTAAAAGTTACTTTTCTCTCTTGCAGTTAATGTATACAGGTTTGTCGCTGGTCGGCGTCGAATTCTGCACTGTGGTGTAGAAATATTTCAGAAGGCCATTCAGAAAGGTCTTAAACCGAGTCACGTGAGTGCTTATCTGTTTCTTTGTACAGTTAATTTAATATTCACCTCAGCAAAATGCTAATTTATTTGGAGGTCTAAAGGTACAAGAAAATCAATTTCACTGTTTTTGTGATCTACATCAATCGGGGCAGTTTGGTCATTGTTTTCATCTGAATTTATAATAAAAACAATTAGTAAACAGTGTATTTATCTAGATTCCAACGATCTTTTGGTGGTACAAAACTTGTAAATAGCTTTGAAAAAAGCAAACATTTAGTAACTAAAGCTTTTCGTTGACACTCTTCAGAGTTTAAAACGTCAGAACATAGATCGAAAACTCTACGCTAAGAAATATATATACCCAGTTGTGGATCGAAATAGGCCAATCAGAAACACGAGCACATGACTGTAAAGGTTGACCAATCAGTGCCGCTTGCCTAATTAGAATGTTACCAATGGAGTCCTAAGGTGAAAACGAACTCCTTTTGTCTACACTACACAGTAGCGGTTTTTTCGTGCTTATGTAGATAGATTCTAAAACTGCTAGGTGGAACGACGATCGGGCTTTACCAATAATCCGAAACATGTCGCCATTATAGTTTTTTGCACAAACTGGGTTTTCTAGCAAATGCTGCCCGATAGCAGAATCGCAGGTCTTATTAGTAATTTTGGATTTGCAAGACCGAGGTGATTCCCTAGATTATCTAGATTCAATAGATATCGTGAGGCAATATCTAGATTCCCTTTGCCTGCTCGTGTTCTTCAATGAATCGGCACGTATATTTAAGCTTTTATGTTTACTTTCTTAAAGCGTTAAAATGTAGTGTTAAAATGTGATGACAACATAAGAATACGTTTTCACAATATATAAATCTGGACCATACTATCGGACCGAGCATTGTAGAAAACCTCTTTATATGCAAATTCAATTGTAAGTGTTCCCCAATTGGCTGAGATCTGACTCTTTTCAGGACCGAAGTCTTCTTTTAGGATTACTGTAGTTTTTACGTGGTTATCAGAGTTGAATTTCAAGATCAAATTACAGTTATATGATTGGTAAAGTCGGTGTGTGTTTCTGGCACTATCGGTTATGTAATTTAGATGCGACTGTTGTATCATATATAGGACTATACAATGATGTTCGTCAAATGGTATGGCCATATTTCAAAGTTCTTATGACGTCATCACTTTTTATCTCAATTGTCCTTTATCTCGTTTACCTTTATTTGTAGGCAAAGTCAAAACCATTTTTTGTTCAGCCTTATTCTTTACTTTTCTTAGTTTATCGTTACCTTATATTTATCGTATAATAACATACCTTTAATGGATAATGAGGGGGAGATAATGTTGTCGGAGAGTCCCTCATGTAACTTAAGCTATTGATTAGCTAATTTCTATTTCAATTAAGTATTAACGCGGTTTTTGTGCTTAACATGATAACAGCATTCTTCTCCATGCTTTCCTTTTAGCCTAAAAACTTAATTTCATTCGGAGATTCCGACGATGAGTGCTCTGATGATACTCATTTATGATCTGTATGTATCCTCACAGTTTTATTTCTAGTTCCTAGGTATTTATCCATCTTTTAAAGCTTTGTAAGAATCTCTAAAGTGGGTTATCCATTATTGCTATATCCAAATAGAAGAAATTCGGATATTATCACAATATTAGAATGTTTGCCATCGAGAAAACAGGCTCTTTGGAAATGCAGCTATAATGGAAAAACTGAGATGTTTTGCAAGATATTCTACAATTTAACGTGTTAATTGATCACAGCTGTGAAATTTCTGACTTTTCATTCGCAGTGTGACATCATGCTACAAGAAACTTTAATTTTCAGTATGTTTTTTTATTTACAAAACACATTAATCATTCCATATGGAAGAAGATAAATTTTACAGTGCGAGATGCGAAAATGTAACAATTATATTTTATTATTCAATGTTGAAAAGGGTTTTATTTTTATTTTAATGACAAGAAAAGAAAATTTGAAGTTTGTTTCTGAAATTGTTTGAAATGATTTGCAGTTTATGGAATGACATGTCTTAATGGTATTATCTAGCAACTCTCTTATTTCGCAGATGTGCTTCCACGAGGTAAACAAATCTTTTGTGAGTTTGGACATTTTCATGATTCGCCAACGCGAGATATTTAAGCCGATATTCTTTGTAATTTAATTCAAAGTAAAATCATATTTAAATAGTTTTATTTTGCATGTTAATCAAAAATCCTCTTGATTCCTTCTCGGTCTTCAACACGGCTTTGAACTCCAGTAAAGATTTTAAATGAACTATTATTTGATATGTGAAGTTTTGTAATTGAAAATGCTAGTATTCCATGCGCGAAAAAGAACAGAGACAAATAATTCATAGTAACTAAACACCAATGCGGAAATTTTCCAAATATTGTGTCACATTATCATATAATCTTTACAAAGACAGTAAAATTTTTTATTGTCAGTCGTGCCGACCCCAATGTTCTTCAAGCATGCGGTTTACTGGTGTTTATTTTGACTTGGAAGAGTGTTGAAATAAGTATGTTTCGTGGCAAAATTTAAGGTTGTTTTGTACTGGTTTATTATACTTAGTGTGGTTTATACTGATCTTTATCAAATTCTTCTTTAGGCCTTCAATTTTAGAAGCAGTTTTCCTCAGATTTCGTAAAAGTTCATGGGTTGATTTTCTTTACAATTATTTCAGACAGTCTTTTTAACTTTTGTTGATGAGCGAAAGATATTAAGCCGTAAGACTTCGAGTCGTGTTGAAAAGTAGAGAGTACCACTATATATGCTGAGTCTTGATTCTCGTGCTGCAATGTGTTGGTTGGCCTGGCACTGAGCACATGAACTCACCTAGTACCGATTTAAAAACAGGTTCTGTCTCTAGCAGTCTGAGTACAACCGGCTTTCAATATCACATGGAACTACAGTCATCACTCCCAATACGATTGACATCCTATATATAGGGAAGGCCTATTTAACAAGATTCGACGCTTTTAATAATTGTCACTGAACTTTTAAAATAGTACAGCTTTTTGCAACTTGCATGATTCATTTATCAGTTCCCACCTCGTCATTTTTCTGTAAACTTATCGATTTTGTTAATATGCTCTTGCCAAACACCATGACGACACATAACGCTGTCTTGTCATCATGATTGTCTCCTGTTCAGAAACCCCCATTTTGTCTTTAATAGACCTGAACATCCTAAAATCCCTTCACAAAAATGCTATTTCCTAACATTTTTAGAAATAAGCCTCCTTTTGCGCTCACATGAGACAGTCGGGTTTCCATCAGATCTTGTCCAGGAACAGAACTTTCCAGGAATTTACCTTAAGTTCTTAATACCGAGTTTTCGTTTTTTTTCTTCGTCTAATGTTTAAGTTTTTATCTGAAATAAAACAGAAAGTGAGATTTTGATTAAGAAGACTGAACGGTTACTTTGTTACGTTGTCATTGTTTAAAATCATTTTGTGTCAGTGTTGTTGTGAATTTTGATTGTATCATCACCAGCCCTCTAAAAAACCTATTTAATTGAATGTACTTTTGATTGTTCTATGTTCTCAATTCTCTAGTCGTCCTAAAAGCTCTGTTAACATTACATTTTCTAGTAGCTTTAGAATCTCTAACTCTCCTCCGTCTGTTCCTACTCCTCTGATTACTTAGTTGTTAATTTTTATCCCATCTATATTTTGTGCTGATATTAAATTCCCTTCCCCCGCTGTTTAATGTTTCTAATATAATTCCACTGACCTTCATCTTCTTCAGAGAGTGTCCTGATCCTCACTGCATTGATTTTTTTCCTGCAGCCAATGCTACTGTCTTTGTTTTTACTAATGTTGTTACTTATCAAAGTATTGTATATACATATAAATGTATAGATATATATCATTGTCAATAAGTTTCTTTTACTCTTTCGAATTGAACATATGTTAATAGCAAAATCTTCGTATTGATAAAATGAAAACTCTACGATTGCTTTATTTCTAAGCTTTGTGTTATCTCTGTCATTTGTTCTGATATGAAGAATGACTTATCCACTCCCAGGGTAGAAGCTAGAAAACCGCAATTCCAAATCTTGATCATAGGATTAAAAGCTGAAAAATTCACACCCTTTGGTGGAAATACTCTAAGTCTAAAGTAGGAGACAATGTCTAAGAATTCAGCCAATGACTTTTTCATTAACACACCCATTTGTGGGGTGTGGGTTAGGGCAATTAAAAACAAGTTTTAATCATTGCGCAAAGTATTGCTGTCCTCTTATAGCTTGATCATATATATGCCGACCTTATAATGATGTGTGAACCTTAACATCGATTCAACTATTATTAGAAGCCAAAAGTGAATATTAAAAATAAAAGTCGTCCGAGAACTGTTTCCTGTGGAACTTCAAAGTTCTTCACAAGAAGAATATTCTTCCCATCAATCACAACTGTTTCATTTCTGTAACCGAAAATAGCATTTAAAATTGTTCTTGCAAATTTTACCAAGTTTTTATATCCAGCAGAGAATTGATTAGCTCTAGATTTTTTAGTACTAAGAAAACAAGTTCATGCTACTGTTGCTTGCTTGATGCTACCTCGGTATTATTTAAGCTTCTGCTACGTTCTTGGTGCTGCTGTAATATTTTAGTTGCTGCCGTTTTTTTATGCTCCTGCTTTTTATGATAATGCCACTGCATTTCTGATTCTTCTGTTGTTTCCTCAATGTTGCTGTTGTATTCGTAGCAGCTTATCCTGTTCTCTTTATGCTGCAGTTGTTTCCTTGATGCTGTTGTCGTATGATTGATGCCTCTATCATATTCTTGATGCTGCTGATGTTTTTTGATGCCGCTGTTGATTTGAAGATAATGCAGTTATCTTCATGACTATTTTTGATTTTTGATGTGATAACATAATGTTTACATTCATGATGCTCCTGTTGTTTTCTGACCCTGTCCTTTATGCTCCTCTTATATTCTTGATGATAAATCTTCATTGGTGACGCTTCTTCTTGATGCTGCTTTGTTTTCTTGATGCTGGTGCTGTGTTCCTAACGATGCTGTTATATTTCTCATGTTGCTGCTGAACTCTTGATGCCACCGTTGAAGCTGGATGCTGCTTTGCATTGCAGATGCTGGTGTTGTCTTCTTGATGCTTCTTTTGCAATCTTTATACTGCAGTTATATTCTTGATGTTTCTAATCTATTCTTGAACAGCTTTTGTATTCATGATGCTCCTGCCATAACCTCAATACTTTTGCTGCATTCCATATGATTCTGTTTTCATCGATACAGCTGTTGTGTTATGGAAACTGCTGATAAATTTCGATGCTTCTTCTTCACTTTTGATGCTTTACCCTATTCTTAATGCATCTGTTTTTATACCGCTGTTGTATTATGGAAACTGCTGAAAAAATCTCGATGCTTCTTCTTCACTTTTGATGCTTCTTCCCTATTCTTAGTGCTTCTGTTTTTATACTGCTGTTGTGTTATGGATGCTGCTGATAAAATATTGATGCTTCTTCTTCACTTTTGATGCTTCTTCCCTATTCTTAATGCTTCTGTTTTTATACCGCTGTTGTAATATGGATGCTGCTGATAAAATCTCGATGCTTCTTCTTCACTTTTTATGCTTCTTCCCTATTCTAAGTGCTTCTGTTTTTATACTGCTGTTGTGTTATGGAAACTGCTGATAAAATATTGATGCTTCTTCTTCGCTTTTGATGCTTCTTCCCTATTCTAATGCTTCTGTTTTTATACTGCTGTTGTGTTATGGAAACTGCTGATAAAATTTCGATGCTTCTTCTTCGCTTTTGATGCTTCTTCCCTGTTCTTAATGCTTCTGTTTTTATACCGCTGTTGTCTTATGGATGCTGCTGATAAAATTTCGATGCTTCTTCTTCACTTTTGATGTTTCTTCCATACTCTTAATGCTTCTGTTTTTATACTGCTGTTGTGTTACGGATGCTGCTAATAAATTTCGATGCTTCTTCTTCGCTTTTGATGCCTCTTCCCTATTCTTAATGCTTCGGTTTTTATACCACTGTTGTGTTATGGATGCTGCTGATAAAATTTCGATGCTACTTCTTCACTTTTGATGCTTCTTCCCTATTCTTAATGCTTCTGTTTTTATACCGCTGTTGTGTTATGGAAACTGCTGAAAAAATCACGATGCTTCTTCTTCGCTTTTGATGCTTCTTCCCTATTCTTAATGCTTCTGTTTTTATACCGCTGTTGTGTTTTAGAAACTGCTGATAAATTTCGATGCTTCTTCTTCACTTTTGATGCTTTTTCCCTATTCTTAATGCTTCTGTTTTTATACCGCTGTTGTGTTATGGATGCTGCTGATAAAATTTCGATGCTTCTTCTTCGCTTTTGTGCTTCTTCCCTATTCTTAATGCTTCTGTTTTTATACTGCTGTTGTGTTATGGAAACTGCTGATAAAATCTCGATGCTTCTTCTTCGCTTTGGATGCTTCTCCCCTATTCTTAATGCTTCTGTTTTTATACCGCTGTTGTGTTTTAGAAACTGCTGATAAATTACGATGCTTCTTCTTCACTTTTGATGCTTTTTCCCTATTCTTATTCTTAATGCTTCTGTTTTTATACCGCTGTTGTGTTATGGATGCTGCTGATAAAATTCCGATGCTTCTTCTTCGCTTGTGTGCTTCTTCCCTATTCTTAATGCTTCTGTTTTTATACTGCTGTTGTGTTATGGAAACTGCTGATAAAATCTCGATGCTTCTTCTTCGCTTTTGATGCTTCTTCCCTATTCTTAATGCATCTGTTTTTATACCGCTGTTGTGTTATGGATGCTGCTGATAAAATTTCGATGCTTCTTCTTCACTTTTGATGTTTCTTCCATACTCTTAATGCTTCTGTTTTTATACCGCTGTTGTGTTACGGATGCTGCTAATAAATTTCGATGCTTCTTCTTCGCTTTTGATGCTTCTTCCCTATTCTTAATGCTTCTGTTTTTATACCGCTGTTGTGTTATGGAAACTGCTGAAAAAATCACGATGCTTCTTCTTCACTTTTGATGTTTCTTCCATACTCTTAATGCTTCTGTTTTTATACCGCTGTTGTGTTATGGATGCTGCTGATGAAATTTCGATGCTTCTTCTTCGCTTTTGATGCTTCTTCCCTATTCTTAATGCATCTGTTTTTATACCGCTGTTGTGTTACGGATGCTGCTAATAAAATTTCGATGCTTCTTCTTCACTTTTGATGCTTTTTCCCTATTCTTAATGCTTCTGTTTTTATACCGCTGTTGTGTTATGGATGCTGCTGATAAAATTTCGATGCTTCTTCTTCGCTTGTGTGCTTCTTCCCTATTCTTAATGCTTCTGTTTTTATACTGCTGTTGTGTTATGGAAACTGCTGATAAAATCTCGATGCTTCTTCTTCGCTTTTGATGCTTCTTCCCTATTCTTAATGCTTCTGTTTTTATACCGCTGTTGTGTTATGGAAACTGCTGATAAATTTCGATGCTTCTTCTTCACTTTTGATGCTTTTTCCCTATTCTTAATGCATCTGTTTTTATACCGCTGTTGTGTTATGGATGCTGCTGATAAAATTTCGATGCTACTTCTTCACTTTTGATGCTTCTCCCCTATTCTTAATGCTTCTGTTTTTATACCGCTGTTGTGTTATGGAAACTGCTGAAAAAATCACGATGCTTCTTCTTCGCTTTTGATGCTTCTTCCCTATTCTTAATGCTTTTGTTTTTATACCGCTGTTGTGTTTTAGAAACTGCTGATAAATTTCGATGCTACTTCTTCACTTTTGATGCCTCTTCCCTATTCGTAATGCTTCTGTGTTTATACCGCTGTTGTGATATGGAAACTGCTGAAAAAATCTCGATGCTCCTTCTTCACTTTTGATGCTTCTTCCATATTCTTAATGCCTCTGTTTTTATACCGCTGTTGTGTTATGGATGCTGCTAATAAATTTCGATGCTTCTTCTTCGCTTTTGATGCTTCTTCCCTATTCTTAATGCCTCTGTTTTTATACCGCTGTTGTGTTATGGAAACTGCTGATAAATTTCGATGCTTCTTCTTCGCTTTGGATGCTTCTTCCCTATTGTTAGTGCTTCTGCTTTTATACTGCTGTTGTGTTATGGAAACTGCTGATAAAATTTCGATACTTCTTCTTCACTTTTGATTCTTCCTCCCCATTCTTAATGTTTCTGTTTTTATACAGCTGTTGTGTTATGGAAACTGGTGATAAATTTCGATGCTTCTTCTTCGCTTTGGATGCTTCTCCCCTATTCTTAATGCTTCTGTTTTTATACCGCTGTTGTGTTATGGAAACTGCTGATAAATTTTGATGCTTCTTCTTCGCTTTAGATGCTTCTCCCCTATTCTTAATGCTTCTGTTTTTATACCGCTGTTGTGTTTTAGAAACTGCTGATAAATTTCGATGCTTCTTCTTCACTTTTGATGCTTTTTCCCTATTCTTAATGCTTCTGTTTTTATATCGCTGTTGTGTTATGGATGCTGCTGATAAAATTTCGATGCTTCTTCCTCGCTTTTGATGCTTCTTCCCTGTTCTTAATGCTTCTGTTTTTATACTGCTGTTGTGTTATGGATGCTGCTGATAAAATTTCGATGCTTCTTCTTCACTTTCGATGCTACTTCCCTGTTCTTAATGCTTTTGTTTTTATACCGCTGTTGTGTTATGGAAACTGCTGATAAATTTCGATGCTTCTTCTTCGCTTTGGATGCTTCTTCCCTATTCTTAATGCTTCTGTTTTTATACCGCTGTTGTGTTTTGGAAACTGCTGATAAAATATTGATGCTTCTTCTTCGCTTTTGATGCTTCTTCCCTTTTCTTAATGCTTCTGTTTTTATACTGCTGTTGTGTTATGGAAACTGCTGATAAAATCTCGATGCTTCTTCTTCGCTTTTGTGCTTCTTCCCTATTCTTAATGCTTCTGTTTTTATACTGCTGTTGTGTTATGGAAACTGCTGATAAAATATTGATGCTTCTTC